GCGTTCATGTTGTTTGCGGCACAGGAGGGCTATTCGTTTAGTCCCGCCCCGTAATACCCACTCCAGTTTTATCCCGCTCCTGTTAGTATGGCAGCAGGTCCTGTGGGACCCACGGGATCCCAGTTTCTTTGTGCCCTCCCTCCCCCAGAACCTCTTTTGCTGAGAGGGCGTCTCCCCCCCCACACACACACACAGTTTGTGCACCATTGCTCTAGCTAATGACAGACACAAGGTGGGTGAGTTACGATCTTTTATTGGACCAAATGCTGCTGCCAACTAAGTGAGACCAGCTTTCAAGCTCCGCAGAGCTCCGTGCAGCTCACAGGCTGGTCTCTCTCATCAACAGAAGTTGGTGCAATAAAAGATATTACCTGACCCCCACCCTTGTGTCTCTAATGCCCTGGCACCAACAGGGTGACAACAGCACCGCAAACAGCTCTAGCTAGGATCCCACCGCCAACAGGGAGGCTGCAGGAGTCTCTCTGGCTCATTCCTTACCATATTCCAGTGCATCAATGAGTATCTCCATTTTGTCTGCTAGGGCTCCCTGGTCAATGGTTCTCAGCACCTCCGCAGCCACCTCCGCCCCATAGTCCGTCCCATAGAAGAGGAGGAGCAGGTCCGTGAGGGCTGGAGGAGCCGCATTTCTCAGGCTCCCAGAGGGGAGCTGTTGGTATCCCTCCTTCGGCTGGATTTCCCTCAGTTTGTCCTTGAATCTCTGCAGCTCCCTTTCTCCCAGCATGGCCAGGGTCTCCAGCAGTACTGTCTCGGCCGTCTCCATGCTGCCAGCACCACTTGGGATGGTTCATCAAAGAGACAGGAACTGCAGGACAGAGAAGGGCTGTGAGGCAGGAACCAGCAGCAGGAAATTACTCATTGCTCAGCTCCCCTCCTGGTTTGCTGGAGTGGTCTGAGCATGCCCAGCAACAGCTGCAAACTGCAAGAATTTGCTACTTAGGGTGCACCCGGCCTGCACACGAGCTGAGCAGACTCAGTAACATCTGCTAAAGCCACTGCCCTTCACTAGGGTTACCATATTTGAACATTGAAAAAAGAGGACATTCCACAGGGCCCCGGCCCCACCCCAACTCCGCCCCCTCCCATAACTATAAAGGGAAGGGCAACAGCTCTCCTGTGCACAGTACTATAAAATCCCTCCTGGCCAGAGACTCCAAAATCCTTTTACCTGTAAAGGGTTAAGAAGCTCAGGTAACCTGGCTGACACCTGACCCAAAAGGACCAATAAGGGGACAAGATACTTTCAAATCTTGGTGGGGGGAAGGTTTTTGTTTGTGCTCTTTGTTTTGGGGGTTGTTCGCTCTTGGGACTAAGAGGGACCAGACATCAATCCAGGCTCTCCACATCTTTCTGAACAAGTCTCTCCTATTTCAAACTTGTAAGTAAACAGCCAGGCAAGGCATGTTAGTTTATCTTTGTTTTCTCAACTTGTAAATGTACCGTTTACTAGGGTGTTTACCTCTGTTTGCTGTAACTTTGAACCTAAGGCTAGAGGGGGTTCCTCTGGGCTCTTTAAGTTTGATTACCCTGTAAAATTATTTTTCCATCCTGATTTTACAGAGAGGATTTTTACCTTTTTCTTTAATTAAAAGCCTTCTTTTTAAGAACCTGATTGATTTTCCTTTTTTTTTAGATCCAAGGGGGTTGGATCTTGATCCACCAGGAGTTGGTGAGAGAGAGGAAGGGGATGGTTAATTTCTCCTTGTTTTAAGATCCAAGGGGTTTGGATCTGTATTCACCAGGGAATTGGTGAAGAGTCTCTCAAGGCTACCCAGGGAAGGGAATTAGCACATTGGGAGTGGTGGCAGCAAA